TTTATTTATTTATTGAAAAACTGTTTTCCACACCTTCAATGTCGATTGTTTATTCTGTCGATGGGTTTTCATTTTTTAATTATAGAAATTTTATATAGATTGGTTCTATTAATTGGGAATTTTATTCTTCGGAGGTGCAATTGACGGGAATTAATGGAAATTCATTGACAGTGAACAATTGGGGAATTATTGAAATTATTGGAAGGGGAATAACTGGTGGAATGATCTCGGAATTTTCATTTGGGAATGGAAATGGAAGTGGAACTTCCAGGGAATTAGAAATTTTTTGGTGGGAAAATGGAAACTCGATTCTCTTGAATTTTTAATGAAAAGTGAAGGTTTTGAAAAGTTTTATTGAGTGAAATGAAAAGTCAAGGATACGCTTATCGAATTTTTTTCAATCTTATCAAGATTCGAGGAATAAATTAAATTTCGAAAATGAAAAATCAATGTATCAATGATTTCTTCAACTTTCTATTGACTCCTCAAGAGAATTGTCAATTAAAAAATGAATTAAATAACAACATAACAAGAATGACATTACAATTATTATTAAATAATTATTCGAGTGTTTTCTTCCCTTCCCCTCAACTAAAATAACTTTTCCAGTTTTCTCTATTTTCATTTCTATGTTTTAGTTGCAAAATTCGAGTAGAAATGCGAAAAAATAATGCGAATAGTTGGCAACTCGCGAAAATGTCTCGAAAGAAAATGAATTCACCGAAACCGCATAATCACCAGTATTCCAACCACTCAATCACCATCGACAGTTGATTGAGTGAATGCAGTACTTTGCATGCGACCTCAGTAACAGAAGGATTATTCAATGAGCATCATTAAGGTCACAAATGACGCTATTACGAGAATGCAAGTGAAACGCAAATACTAAGTGATGATTCGACTCTTCAACAATGAGAGGATAAACCTCACCTACACAATACCAGTAACTGCACCTTCTCCGACACCATTTTTAACGGAATATCTCAGAATCCCGGGCAGGTACCGACATTTTGACAATGACCTTTTCTGTGGAAAAAATCGAGAGCTACAAAAAAGCTATCTATGCAAATCTCACTATCTCCCTTCAATTCCGAGATTTTTCCGAAAAACTGACAGCAAAAATATCGCACTTATCAGAGTTTGTAAAAAAAAATTGTTTTATATTATATTATTATTATTATATTAATATGATAATATTATAATATTAAATATGCAGAATTGTCTGATAGCTACACTTTTGATAACATTTTTTCAAGGGGGAGGGGGTGAATGAGGGGGTGATTGAAGATAAGGGAAAGTATGTGCAATTGCAATTGCACGAGAGATTGTAGATATCCAAGAGGTGAATCTGGGATTTGAAAAATGGGAAAAAAAAATCTACGATGAGGGAAAATGGAGGAATAGATTATCTCTGGATATTTCTGTCCTCCGAAGGGTGAGCACTTCACATGTACCTTGACTCTGAGAATTTACTGGCAATGTCCTGGGGACAGGGGAATGAGGGGAATGCAGTCGAGGGTGGAAAAAGTGGATGAGAAAAAAAAATGTCAAGAGACATGTGAGACTAATGGAGGGAAGAGTCGGCTTTTGTTGCCTCCGGTGGGGAATAATTGGCGCATCCATTCTCACTGAATCATACGGAACGATAAGAGAGATGGACATCGTCAGCTGGGAAAAGAGTTTACACTGAGACGTGGAGGTAGATGGCTTCATCAGATTGCACCAGGACAACTAGCCTCATTTATTCTAGCCAATCCTCATTTTCCTCACCGCCATCTTGTCCACGAATTAGCAACGGATGCGCAATCGCGTCGCGGGTTCAAATCCCGATTCATTTACTTCACTTCAAAATTAAAATTAATTA